CCCCTCCCCCGGGCTTCACGCTCAGTGATTCCCGCGCTTCACTGTAAAATCCTGGAGTTGCGGAGCCACCGATGCCTGTCAGCCGCTTGAAACCAGTTTAAGTCAAAGCCTCGCTGCGAGCACGTGCGGGCGGGCGGATCGGAGCACCGCACCCTCTCCTTCCCCTTTCTCCGTGGAACGAAATGGGAACCGCGCCCTCCCCGTGCGGGTCGCGGGCGCACCCTGACCACCGCGGACCGTGGTCTCCGCTCGTCTTTGGGCAGGGACCTGACGGGCGGGACTGGCAGCGAGGCTGGAGGGCTGAGCATTCCCGTGAACGAACAGGATGCCTGCCTCTGTGCAGGAGCGTGTGTGCACGTGTGCGCCTGTGCCCGTGTGCCCGTGTGTGCCCGTGCGCCTGTGTGCCTGTGCACGTGTGCATGTGCGCTTGTGCCCGTGTGCCCGTGTGTGCCCGTGCGCCTGTGTGCCTGTGCACGTGTGCATGTGCGCTTGTGCCCGTGTGCCCGTGTGTGCCCGTGCGCCTGTGTGCCTGTGCACGTGTGCATGTGCGCTTGTGCCCGTGTGCCCGTGTGTGCCCGTGCGCCTGTGTGCCTGTGCACGTGTGCATGTGCGCTTGTGCCCGTGTGCCCGTGTGTGCCCGTGCGCCTGTGTGCCTGTGCACGTGTGCATGTGCGCTTGTGCCCGTGTGCCCGTGTGTGCCCGTGCGCCTGTGTGCCTGTGCACGTGTGCATGTGCGCTTGTGCCCGTGTGCCCGTGTGTGCCCGTGCGCCTGTGTGCCTGTGCACGTGTGCATGTGCGCTTGTGTACGTGTGCCCGTGTGTGCCCGTGCACCTGTGTGCCTGTGCACGTGTGCACGTTTGTGCTTGTGTACGTGTGCCCCTGTGTGCCTGTGTACCTGTGTACTTGTGCATGTGTGTGCTTGTGTACGTGTGCACGTGTGCGCCTGTGTACTTGTGCATGTGTGTGCCTGTGTACCTGTGTACTTGTGCATGTGTGTGCTTGTATACGTGTGCACATGGGTACATGTGTATGTGAGCACGCGGGCCTCTACTCCTCTGCATTGAAGTTGTTGGGTTGCATTTCTTGAGCATGATAAATTCCAGTGCCTTCAGTGCAAATGCAGAGGACACCCTCCACCTTGCCTAAGTGCTCATTTTCTAAATACCTTGTAATTTCCCATTTTCCTTGCCTTTACTCCCAAGTGTCTGAAAGAGTTTCTAATTGGAAAGAGGAGCTGTGTTAATCCGTGTTTTTGCTTTCTTTCTCGGAATGTTTCATGGCAGGTGTGGATGGTGAGGCCTGTGAAAAGTGTGCTCCTTAGGAGACAGGGAGGTTTTGCTTTCCACTATTGAAAACCTAATTTTTCATTATTTCCAGACACATGTGATTGGATACCTGCTTTTTCACATGGACATTTAAAAGCAGTGGCAAACAGGATTTTCAAATTCCAATCACCCCATTTATATTAATAATAAATGTTAATATGAAATATGTGAGTGAAAATTTCTCTTGTAAATTCTGAAGTTGGTGATGGAGGAAATTTGGCAAGACAACATCCCAGCTACTCATGCTGCAGAAATTTCTTAAAGGTATTTCCAAAGAACAGCTCTTCTGGTTTTCTCATGTCTATTCCAAGTTTCTCTGACTTGTAAGTTTTTTGATTTTTTAAATATTTAGACTGAAATGGACTTAAATTCTGGAAGAAAACATTCTCTTAGGCATAAGGACAATAAAACCTCTGGTGATCATGCCCCTGCTCCTCTAGGTCTCCAGGGCTGAGATCACTACACCTGACCTCATCTCACTCCTCTTAGGACTGTGGGGACCTGGACACAGATTAAGGAGCAATGTTCAGAAATCAAAGTTACTATAGAATGTCATAGTTGGGAGAACTTCATTAACATTGAAATTTTTTTGAAACACAAATTTACAGTGACCTACAATAACCAAAATACACAAGCCCAAGAGAATATTCCCTATAATTGTTTCTATTAAAATACTTCCATGATATCAAAAAATTTCATCTCAGCTCAAGGTGCTGCTTGGAAGATGCAGGCCCATAGGTAAGTACATTACCTAGAGTTTTCCCAAATTCAGTCATTTACACAGGTACACATTAATTTCATAACTTCGGATTTACCTTATATTTTAATAGTCCTGAGTGTGGACTCAGATTTTTACAAACGAATTGAAAGTTTAGATGCCAGTATGATAAGTTACATTTTAAATACAGCCTAACTGTATGTAAATGAAATAGGCCATGCGTATGTGTCTGTCCTCAGCATTGTCTGGAATGCCACCGTTTTTACACACAGCTCAGCTGAGGAAGTTAGAGTTGTCAGATGGACCCTGCTCCCCACATTTTTCCCCTCCTCACTCCAGCCCTCAGGAGTGCATGGTGCGCATGGGGTCTTGTGCATGAGCCCCTGGAGGAGAGGAACACTGGACAGAGGTCTCATCCTGCCCCAGAGCACTCAGCAGCTCTCACCCAGTAATTCACCCAGATGGGTGCTTGGGCAGACCAGAGCCACATCCGTACCCCACAGCAGCGCTGCCTGCAGGGAACTCTCAGCCCCATCACTACCTGGGCCCTCAGCTCGGGACTGCCCTCTGCCTCCTGCCCAGGCCCTTCCTGCCATAGGCGTGGGTCCCGCCTCTCTGCCTGGGTCTGTTGGTTGGCATGAGCTTATGTGCTGCCTGGCCAGCAGGGGGCAACGTAGGCCAACAGCAGTAGTTCTTGCTGTCCCTGGAGGACCGGGAATTCTGCATTGCTCAGGCGGTCAGTCAGCCTCACTGTGCCTCTCCATGCAGCTGAATACAGCCTTCCCCGTACACTTGAGGGGACTTAAACCGTTCCTAGAACCTCAGGCATCAAAAGACGCCCTTTGTCAGTAATGGCAGTTCACAGAGTATAAAATTGACTAGAAAAATTTGAGGGAGGGAGGGCCTGGACACCCTCTCCTGTCATTCCAAGTAGGAACCAGTGGTGTGTCCCACCCCCGAAGGTGATTTGAAAATGTTCCCTGAGTCTCAGGGGGCTCCCAGATGCTATTCACTGCCATCCATGCCGTCTCAAGAGCTGGTCCTGGGCCCCAGAGTTGATTGATGTCTCTCGTTGATGCTTCTATCTCTCTCCCCCCCTCCCTTCCCCTCTCTCTAAAAAAAAAAAAAAAAAATCAATAAAAACCTATTAAAAAATGCAGACTTCCAGTCTCCCCTCCACATTACTGAACTGTTTCCTGGAGTGAATCTCAGTGTCTGCAGTTTAAAGCCACTTTCCAGTTGGCTTTGTGCACAGTAATGACTGAGAAAACCCTGATCTACACTCAACAGATGCTGCTGAGATTCAAGGTGGAGCTTTGTCCTGCCTGTGCCCGGACCTCTTGTTAGCAGCATGTCCAGAGACTTAAATTCAAACTTAAATCCAGAGCTGCTGCCTCCATGTTCAGAGGCATCTCACTGCCCTGAAGGGGAGGATCTGGCAGGATATAACCACAGGACTCAACATTCTCCTGCATTCTGGGGAGCAAAGCATGGTCCTGGCAAGTGAAGGGGATCCAAATATAGGTTCAGCAAACTATCTTGTGGTAGGGTGAGCTCTATACTGTGAGCAGAGCCCCTGGTCGTTCAGGCCAGGAGTTGGGGGATGAATTATCAGCAGAGTGAGTAAGAGCTGGTAAGTGCTCACTACCAAAATGTCTAGGTGCTGACCAACCTGGCTGGTTTCCCAACGTGCCCGACTTATCATCACTTAACAGAGAGCTCTTTGTGCATAGACTTTAATCTGTTGCCAAAGCGTTTGTAGCTTATGTTCCCATTTCACAAGGACTTCTGGTCAAAACTGTGCCCACATCCTCTTAATGAGCCGAGTGTCCAACAAAACACAGATTCTTGGTCTCCCTGTGAAGGCCTATTGCATCTCCTTGGAACACCTCTGTCCATGACCATCCCTAATGAGGCACAGAAGGGCCCTTCCTACCCAGACAAAGACATTCCGCCGCCGAGCGCGCCCGGGACGGAAGTTCTCCCTGCCTCCGGGAAACGACACCCAGCTTTCTCCTCTCTGCAGCCATGAGGACGGCATTGGCCATCCTCTTCCTTATGAGCCAAGTTCCACCAGGTAAACCAACCAGCCTTGCGGAAGCCTTGGTGGGAACCAGGCCTGGAGGGGATCCAGCGCTCAGAGTGGAAGCCCTGGCCCCTGTGCCCTGAGAAGGGTCTCATAGCAAATCTGGGGGCCCGTTGCCTGCAGCCCTCAGCCACGGATCTGCAGCCACATCTCCTTCGTTCTCTGCAGCCACTCCCACATGAAATGAAGTCCAGGGTGTTTCAAGTGCTTGAAACCCGATTTGCTCCATGAAATTAAATTTAATTAGGCAAGTTTACTAGCAGTTTCTAGATCTAGGTAACAACAAAAACAAAAGGATGTGTCATCCTACGAAGTCTTGACCTCGCAAACTCCTTCCTCTACTTGCTTTCAGCAAAAGGTTCGCAGATGCCGAGTTACCCCGAGATGCGGGCATGAGGGCTACACCAGAGCTATAGGACCCCGGGTGGACGGGAATGGCAAGGGGGTCTCTGTGAAAGGTTTCCTGTGAGTCTAAGGATTCTCCAACTCTTTGCCCCTCCATAGTGTTGGTCCCCTGGTCTTGGCTCTGCCTTGTGACGCTCCATGTCAGCCCTGGCTTTCCCTCTTCTTTCTCAACACCCAGTCTTCTGAAGCAGAACTTAAACATAGGGGTCAGAGATGACACTGCCCTGGAGAGTATCTTCCTGCACTCAGCATGGGCACATGGATCCCAGGTGCGGGGCATCTGTGCGGGCATCTCCTTGCTTCTACCCAAGGGGGTGACCAGATACCCAAGAGAGACCAGGAAATGTCCTGCAGCTCCTGGACGTGTAGGTCCAAAGAGGGGTGAGCAACCTATAGCTCTACAGGGGGTGGACTGTCTTCTCTCCCTGGAACTCAGGGCCTCAGGGCTGGGAGGAGTAGCAACGGCGTCAGCTGTGTCAATGTGGACCACCCCCTTCTGTTTTAAGGTTGTCAGTTGCTATGCTTTCTGTTGTTTGAAAAGGGACACTTGCCAAAGTCTTCAACAGAAAATATAGTGGGGGACATGCCTATTCTTGGTGAATGCAGACTTGCCTGTCTAAGTCTGTGTTTTAAAGGATTTCTTACTGTGAGCAGGTAGGTAGTACTTCAGGTTTGGGGGGCCGTTGGGGAGTTGGGGGGTGCAGCTTGTGAGGCAAATTTCAACTCTGTTTTAGGAAAACTAATCTGGAGGAAGTAGAGGGGGGGTTGTCGTGGGGAGGAGAGTGGAGGTGGGAAAACAGTTCCCTTTCTCAGGTATCTGTCAAGCGTCACTAGGAAGCAGCATACGAGGGAAAAACAGATCCAATGGCCCTTGACTTCTACGAAGTCACAGGCTGGCCACCTCCATCGCTCTGTCGTCTGGGGAGCAGCCAACAAGCCCCCAAACAGAGCACTAGCAGGGGATGGAGGAGAGGTTTCCTAAGTGAGAACTACGAGAAATAAAACACGACCAAAAGAAAGGCAAAGCCAAGAGCAAGCCAGTGTTTGAGGCCTCAGGCACTGAGCCTTACGGGACCCGACTGGGGCCGGCTCTGCAGGAGGACCATGGCGTCCATGTGGTGCCCGGAGTGTCTGAGGCTCCTGGCCCTCGGACTCCCAGGGCGCGGGGCTCCCCAGCCTGGCCTGCTGTTACTCACGCACACCCAGTGTTGCCCAGATTCACCAAGAACGCCAAAAAGCCAAATTTGTGTGTGAAAGCAGGTTTTAAAGTGTTGGCTTAAGGTATCAAACAACAGCAACAATCCACAGAAGATTGCTTCTGGACACTCTCCCCTGGGTGCAATTCAACAGAAATGAGAGGGATGAACAAACGCTTCCAACCCCCCTCTCTGCGCAGCCAGGGCCAGTTTCAGGGAGATCTGTGAGCGTCCAAACGGCTCCTGCCAGGAGTTCTGCATCGAGACGGAAATCCACGTGGGGAGATGCCTGAGCGGCCGGGCCTGCTGCCTGCCCCTGGGCCACCAGCCTCAGGTCGAGCCCACGACCTCCGGTCCCGACTGAGGCCTTTCGAGGTGCCCTGCCGTCGGGCCGCCTTGTCCCTCGCTCTCATCTCTGTCCCGCTCTGCGCCTCCTCGTTCCGGGGATTCCCGCCGATTCCTCACCGAATAATAATAAAGCCCCAGCCGCGCACACCCTGCTTCGCACGTTCCTGTGCTCTAGTTCCCCTGTCGCCGTCTGGGCTGAAGGAGCCCCTGGCTGGTGGGGACACTTCCCTCGGGCCCATGCTTTGGCCCCCGCTGGCCCCTCCGGCCGTCCCTGGGAGGCCGCTCTCCCGCCGGGAAGCTGCGGCCCCACTGGGCAGCCTCCGGGCTCCTCCCCGACAGCGCGGGCCCTGCAGCCCGACCTCCCAGGTCCACGAGTCCTCGCCAGACGCCTGCGGCGCGGGCAGGGTCACAGCCCAGTTAGGACCCTGCCCGCGCCCCCTTTCCAAAGACAGGGAGTGCTCTGGGCCCCGGCACGTGCTCCTGCGGAGCCAGGGGTTCCTTGGGCCCCCACTTGTCACCGGGCGTGCCACTCAGCCTCCCCCCACCCTGGACACCTCGCCTCCGCTTCCTCTGCCACCCGAAACCGCCTGCACCCGCGGCTGGAGGCCGGGCCCTGTTCGCTGACACTCGTCAGGGCAGAAGGCTGACACGCGTCTCAGGGCAACACCAGGGCTCAGCGGGCAGGGCCGTCCCTTCTGGGCACTGTCCCCTTCCTTTGTGACATCAGTGGGGGGTCACTGCCACCCATCACCAGCGGCCAGGCTCCGTGCTTCTTTAAAGCCCGAGATGGGCATCGCCCCGCCTCGCCTCCCGGCTGCTCTGCGCCTCGCTCTCCCTCCAGGCCCCGGTGACGCCCCAGGCCCAGCGGGAGGCGCCAAGGCCCCCCCGCTCTAAGGCGACGGCCCCCCCTAAGGCGACGGCCCCCCGCTCTAAGGCGACGGCCCCCCCTAAGGCGATGGCCCCC